TGATTTCCACTAAACTTTATTATTGAACCTCAGAAGATGTGATATCTGAAAAACTGTTAATTCTCCAGCTTTCTTAAAATAAATAATTATGATTATGAATAGTTTTCTTCCGTCCAGCGCCTCAGTGAGTGAGTCCGTGCTCTGAGCCACCATGATCCTGAACAGTCGCCTGTTGCTCTCTGTCTACATCCTCACCTTCCTGATGGGGGTCCCCGCCAACATCCTGGCATTCTGCACCTTCTGCCGCAAAGTGCATCGCAAGGCGACCCCGATAGACGTCCTGCTCCTCAACCTCACCATCTCCGACCTCATCTTCCTCCTTTTCCTGCCATTCAAAATGAAGGAGGCCTCGGACGACATGGCCTGGCTGCTGCCCTTCCCCCTGTGTCCCTTCACCGGGTTCCTGTTCTACGTCACCATCTACACCGGCACGCTGCTCCTCACAGCGGTGAGCGTGGAGCGTTACCTGGGGGTGGCCTTCCCCCTCAGGTACTCCCTGTGTCGCAGGCCTCGCTACGCTGTGATGGCCAGCATCACCATCTGGGTGGCGACCTCTCTGAACCTCAGCGTCGTCTACATCATACCCTACGTCCAGTGGAACAAAGGTGCAGACGGTGACAACAGCAGCAGCAGCCACAGCCCACCCCCACCCACCTGCTACCATAACTTCACACAGGACGAGCTCAAGATCATTCTGCAGTTCCGCCTCGAGCTCTTCATCGTCCTCTTCTGCATCCCCTTCTTCATCTGCTGCTTCTGCTACGCCAACCTCATCCACATCCTGTCACATCTCCCAAACATCAGCCGGCGGCGGAGGCTGCGTGCCATAGGCCTGGCACTCGGGACACTGATAGTATTCGCCATCTGCTTCGGGCCTTACAATGCCTCCCACGTGGTGGGGTTTGTCCACTTTGAGAGCCAGGAGTGGAGGAACATAGCGTTACTCTCCAGCACATTAAACGCCTGCCTGGACCCAATCATCTTCTACTTCTCGTCGGCGGCGGTCAGGAGCATGTTGAACCACTGCTTCAGGAACATCATGGCAAAGCTGCACATTCTGAGGTGTGGGGCGGCTCCGCACCAGAGACCCATCAACGCTGAGAAGTGCAATGAAGCAGCTCCTCCATGAAAAACACCGAATGATTTATTGTGACTTCTTTCATAAGACTTTTTGAAACTTTTCTTCTGGCCATAAGACTTTCGATGAGGGGAGATCTTGTTAATTTCATCATCTAAAAACTGACAGAATGAAGAACAGGGAATCACTTCTCTCCTCTGACAAATGAAAGAGACTTTGGACAAAGTTTAGATGAAACAATCTCTGTAACAGGTGATGTTTTCCCCGTCAGAGTATAAAAAAAAAAAGATGCACTTTTACTTGCTGGACACACGGTGCCTGAGAGGTCTCACACAAGCACATTAACAGGAAACACGAACGCAAAGAACTTTATTGGTTAATTTACTCTAAACTGACTGACGGTGTTAATCCCACTGGGATTCCGCACGTCTGATCTTTAAACATCTCTTCATTCTCTGACAACTGGCGTCAACAAAGTGTAGATTTTTTTTTCCCCGAAGGCGCTGAACTCTGTGACTCAGAGTTCAAACAGGACACGGTTTAATCAAAGACGAGGGTTTTATAGGAGCGAGGGATGAAGCAATTAAAAACCAGGGGATGTTGGTCGCCAATAATAGGAAGTGGAGACTGAGCACTCCCGAGTTAATTTGGAGTTATGAGCAGGGACAGGTGTAAACACTATGCTTCGCTGGTTATAAAGTTTGTGTCTTTCTGCTCGGAGGGGACTGATAACATCCTGTGGCTGTTTCCTGTCAGTAATAATGAACCCAGAGTTCCTGTGCAGGTGCATGTACATACAGAACATCAGTTTATAGAGTCCTTTTGTACACAGCTCTGAGGACAGCGGGTTCAGCAGTGCACGTCCATTTATTAGTTCGGTGTTTACACACACGATTTATATGAAGTTTAATAAAATCTGTTCCCAAGTCTTATCTGCAGATTTTTTTATGAGGTGTAGCCAAATATAAGATGTATGTTTAGTAATAGTACAACTCGTACCTCCGCCAACTGTCCCCTTAAATTCAATCAAGCTGCAACACATTACACAAACTAATGAACATCACAACATTTACTGGAAATCAAATGAGTAGTTTTTGTATAATCCTGATAAATAACAAAGAGACGCAGATGAAAACATTACATAGAGTATTTATTCCAAAAAAAATTAAATACAACAAAATGAAAAAGGCTCAACTTGTAAGACAAGGATCAAATGAGTGTTAAGACAAAAAAGATGTTTACTTCTAAAAGTGAATTTCAATCTCATAATCGGGCACAAAAAAAAAAAAGGAATCACATTAATACACTGTGACACCAAAACATAATTTTAGAATATGATGATATGCAGCCAAGCACAGAGGCGTTTAAATATTAATTTCTGTGGGGAAAACCATGAGACGGGCACTCGAGGACTTAAAGAAACATCCCAATTCTGTAAACGTCTAAATTTCACATTCGAAGAAGAAAATCATGAAGGGGTTTAACAGTGACGCTCGTTTGAGTCACATCCATGTTTCCAGGCAGTGAGAAATGGGTCAAGTCCCGTCTCAATAGAAATAAGAGCTAAATAAATAATGCTACATAACACTGAGCTACTCCTAAATGTTAGATTTGGGTTGTGCTTGGAAGTGCCCGTCCATGAAAAACTGATCCCCGCAGGCCTTTTGGTCCTGACAGCTCCAAAACTGATCAGTTCTGCATAATTTGTATTCTTGGCATAAGTCTCACACAAGCACACACACACACACAAATACATACACACACAACCACACCTTACAGTATTGTCATGTATCAATATATACTTATTATTGTCGACTTTCTGAATGTGAGGATTTCTTTGATTTATGTTTTTCAGCACCATCAGGAAAGGCACAGTCTGACAAATCAGTCCAATGATGAACTTTCAACCCTCCTCCTCTTTTATAAATATGCAGGATCTTATAAAATGAATGAGCTTTTTGAGATGATGAAAGTGGAGGGACGTCTTCACAGCTCGTATCTGCAGAGGAGGGTTGACGGTTCATCTAGCGTGACACCACAAACCTCCAACAGGCTCCACAAAGCAGAAAACACAGCTATTGCATTATCCAATTTGGAAAAATGACAATTAAATATCATATTTCAATACAGCTATCAGGCCTCTGCTTCATAAAGGACAAGTGGTATCTGCATTACACTGGTTTCTTTAAATATAAATATTTCTCCATTCAGTTTTAAAAAGACTTATATTTTGTGAGGGGATCTGTCCTACAGCCTCTGGAGGTCAAATGACTGCAGGTGGCATCCTGACAGGAAAGAGGGGATTTCTGTTATAAGGCTCTTGATATATTTATAAATATAAACTTTTAAAAACAAGCAGAGCACTAGACAACAATGTTAAACATGCCCATGACTACTAAAACTATTCAAGTAAAAATGCTGGTAATGTCCGACGACGAGAAACTGCTTCAACATGACGACAAACAAAAAAAAAACGATCAGCTCCGGTTTCCTTACAATTAAAAATGTCAGAGAGAAAATCTTTAGTCAAACAAAACCTCAGCATCTCGACTCAACCGTTAAAACACATGCAGCTGTTTTTTTAAGTGCAGTAAAACACCACATCCTCTGCCTCCTTCTCCGTCAATATATTTAATATATATGTATCTGATGAAATATCAAATATAGCAGCTTAGGTTCAGAGCCTTTGAGCACGACGCTGTAAGAGTATTGACACCGAGTCACAACACCCTGACCCGGACCAGGCACACTGGTTTGGTCCGACTGATGAAAATAAAGGCTTCGTCTGAATTAAACTACACCGTGAGGGCGTTAAAGACGACGTTAAAGACGACAATCTCAACAGCTGAACTGTAAGTCTGAGTTTAACCGCTGCTTATTGCATGACGACGTCGCTTTAATCCAAAATAGAAAGACAAAAGTTCATCGGTGTTGAAATTCAAGCACTGGAACATGAACAGTGACGTTCAGACCAAAGCTGGCTGACGACACGCAGACAAACCTGCAAACTCAAACTCCTCCGTGTGTGAGACTAGGTTTTGTTTAATAATAAAATATTTTATGATTTCAACATGTGAAGCTTTTCCTGGATCTGGACAGAATTTACTAGATATTATAAGGAAACTTTCATTTCTTCTCCAATTTGTTGGAGCCATAAACCGTGACAGTTTAAAATATATTTGAAAATGTGCTATTTTTGGAATGATAAGACATTCTTAGCCTAATGAACTGAGTTGTGATTTCATTTAACTTGGTTCATTCTGTCGGATTAATCGGATACTTGTGATAGTAAGAAAACACAGTTTGCAATACTTTATAACCAATTAAAATTTGTCTCATGTAAAAACATGTTGAAATCATAAGATAATTAGAAAACCAGACTTCAGTAACAGTCCTCTGTGTCGTCCTGGTCCACGTGTCAGTGCAGAGTTTTTATACAGAGTTGCCCAAACCAACATACGTTTAACATCCTTCCATCCAACACACACGTCACTCTTCAAACCACATTAGGCACTTTGATCACTCTTCTCCAAACGCACCATCCGACCTCCCGACTGACCCACGAGAACGTCAAATACTTTCCGCTCCTGAATCCAAATTCAACTTGCCAAAACTCGCGGAGACAAAAATACTCGTCGAAATCATTCAGCACAGAACTTGATCTATGCATTAGCACCTTATTGCACTGACGGAGTTCTTGACAAATGATCAGTTTCTTGAAGCGCTTGTTGTCGTCAGAAGATATAAGCCGTCCACTCTGTTCTATTGCTGAATATGATAGTTAATTTAAAAACTAAAAAGGGAAAGAACACTCATAAATAGGAAGAGGAATAAAACGCACGAGAAACATTTGGTATGACAAACGGTACCAAGCTGAAATACGACGTAGAGAAGTTTTCGAACAGTCTTCTTTATGCATCTTGCACTAAGGCAACAAGCGATACACGATGCCTTTAAGACGCAGCTGTACGTGGCTTTTGTTTTTAAAAAACAATTTCATTCAGTGTCTGTGTTGGTTGCGATTCTCACCGTCAGGCTGGATGAACGCGAGGAACCATTGGCTTAAAAAGGAGACCGATCGGTAACCGTGAAGGCAGCCTGCCATGTTGCTATGGCGATCACGCACTTGTTCGACAGACAACACAACACATTCCGTGTCTAGAAAGCTGAGAAAACACAAACAAACATGTAAAAACTGTAAACCAGCGACATTAGGCTCAACATGAGGCGACGGAGCGAGTCGGATCCTCGCTGGTTCAGCTTCATTCCCACTCATTCACCAAAGAATCCTCAGTTTGTATATTCACACCTACTCCGCCATCAGTTAGACGCACACACACAAAATAAAATCCCTGCAAAACAAAAGTTTGAGCTGCTGTAGATTCATCATGATTTAAATAAAGCGAGAGAGAGAGAGAGAGAGGGTGGTGATGTGTGGGCAGGAGCACAGGGAAACGATTGGCTGGTTTTTAAAATTTGCATAATGTGGCTGTGACTCCTCTCTGGCTTCTATCATCCTTATGCAGTAGCTGCCGCCATCACCGTCGCGCTGCGGTGACCAAAGCTTCACCAGTGTGGGGTCGGACCTTAAGACTGGCGGAGAGACTGAGAAAGGTGGAGGGTTTCAGGCAAAGTACATGGTGCTCAATGTGTCGTGGTGGATCTGAACGGCTTTGGCCAGCGCCTGGGGGTCCCTGCCGTTACTCTGCCCTGAGACGTGGCTGCCCTCCGCACTGCGACAACAGAAAACAAACAAATGAACAACACATCAAGACAAAGTGACATAAAAAAGGACCTGAAGCACTGAAATGATCCTGTGAGTTTAAAACCTTCTCCTCACCTGTCGTGCTCTTTGTCCACCAGGTGGTAGCGGGCACGGAACGCCACCAGGTGGGCGTAGTAGGCCGGTGCTGGGATGGAAACGGACCGAGTGCAGCGGACGTAGGTGTGGCACAGCTGGTAGGTGAGGAGCTGGAACTCATCGGCGGTGAAGCAGTTGTCGTCCCACAGAACGTGGTAGTGAGACGGCCGACTCGTACCCTGGAGAGAGGAGAGCAGAGTTTAATCACACCCCAGAGAAATGAAGCTCCACGGAGGAAGGACAAACAACGAGCTGCTGAAATGAGTCGAAGCAGGGACGTCTGGTTGATGCAAAAGGGGAAAAGCAGTTTACCGAAAAAGTCAGCAGTGATTTTTTTACCTGGATCCCAGCGTGGCTGCAGAGGTAAAAGTCAAATTCATAGGGGTGGGTGATGTCTGTGTCCACTGTGGTGCCGGCAGGAATGTTTCCACTTCGTCCAACCTGACAGAGAAACATGATAAATGTAAAGAAACATAATTTTACCTGAATTGCAATTATATCTTTAAAATTTTCTATGAAATCGGCTCGTCTGTGCTGCTGACCCGCTCGTTGCGATCCGCACAGAAGAGGCGCGTGTGATGGCGTTTCTGAACGACGATGTACGTGATCCCCGGCTGGTATTCTTTCTCCAGGCTGATGCAAGCCTCCCTGATGGCCAGCAGCTCATAGTACAGCACCTGCACAGAAAGATACAGGAATATTTGCAGGATCTGTTCAGCCTAAACACTACTTCTAAATATACTAAATCAAATACTTTTAAACAAGTATAATTGGAACAACGTGAATCAGCGTTGTACCTGTCTGAACTGGCCCTCCGACACTCCGTCCCTGTAGAAGATGATCCTGGTTGGTTTATAGCGCGTTGATTTGTAGAACTGGATCAAAAGGTCTCGCACCATAGAGGCCAAGTCCTGAATGATCTCCTGTCTGGGCCTCTGCACCCGCACTGTGGCGCAGTACCTGCTGGGGTGTGCGTCCATACTGCCCACAACCTACAGAGGAAGAGCAGATCAGCATTCTGTTAATGTCCTTAGAAGAACCACAGACATGACAATGTTTGCTGCAGGAGGTTAAAATATCACTTTATATAATCACTGAATATTAACACTGACATTATTGTAAAAACGTTTAGGGGGAGACACATTTTCCTGTGTAGTTTTGAGAGAGAAGAAAAGTGGAAATTTTCTCTGAAGTGACGTCTCACCGCTGCAATCGATGGTTTTTTCCCGTCACCTGCTGGAGGATGAGTGACATCAGCCCCGAGGAAGATGACAGGCTGCTGGAACACAGACGGCCTGGACGGAGGAGAGGAAACGGAAAATTATCCTTCAACTAATCAGTCGTGTGTCACACAGCGGACAGAGAGAAAAATAAGATTAAAAAAAAAAAAACTAAGCAAATGGAGGCAGATCTAACGTCAGGGATCTATTTTGTGGTGTTTTTTGAGTGTCATGATGTCATCTGTCAGTTTTAATCAGAGTTGCGGGTTTTTACCGTTGGTGTGGAACCAGGATGTTGTTGATTCCTCCCAGTTTGACGTTGATCTTGAGGCAGAGGTTTGAGAGGGTCTGAGGGGACGTCTTCACCACGTTCTTCACCTGAACACACTGGGTGGCCATTCCAAGGAGGGTGTCGCCCACCCGCTTCACCTCAGCTGTAGGTAACAGATCGGACATTTTAATTACCGTACATTTACTGTTAACTATTTCTAATGAACTTATTCTGACTTTTCTATATTCACTGACTTTTTTGGCCACTGTTTAAACATTGTCTTTGGCCATTTGGTTTAGAAATATATTCATCTGTGTACCATAGACGGGAGTTTTCCCAGGCAGGATGACAATAATGAGCTGTAGCCCAGCATAGGTGTTCTTCAGGTGTCGGAACATGGGCTCCACGCTGTCGGCTCCTTGGGCGTATTTACAGAAGCACGGCTGGCCTTGGATTGGCATCCCAGCATCCTTTGAGATTTTCCGCAGCTGGTCTGTGAAGCTCCTTAGCAGGAAAATTGAAAGATGCGTTCACACAGTTTCATGTTCAGCACATTTCTCAACATCAATGGTGATGAAAGGTGAATAAAAACGTTCCAGGGTTTATACTGTGTGCCCCTAAAATAGTTTTATTTCATTCATTGACATTCTTTAAATGGTTCATCAACTTTTTCTGTGAGTTTTTAAACTCTGCCAACAAGTAAGTTAACGATCACGATTGGTGGACTCACTTGAGGATCTCTTCTCTGCACTGTCTCTGTGTGGCGAAGCAGGCGATGGCCCACATCTTGATCTCCACTCCGGTGTGAAACTGCTTCCCCCTCATGTCCCACACCCCGTGGCTGGGTGTGGCCACCGTGCGGTTCTGAAACGACAGTGCAGGGTTGATCTGCTGGGACTGACAGTCACACGGACACATGCAATACATAGGCGCACACACACAATGTGTGGATTCACGGAGTTCAGGCAGTGACTGGCTGATTGTGGCATTAGAGTCAAATTGATTTTTTAATTTTTCATCCGTGCAGAGTTCTGATTGGTGCATGCAAATTAGCTGTCATGCAAAAAAATGTTTATGACAGGTGTGCAAAACCTTTTCAAAAACATAATGAATGTGTGAAAACAGCATAAAACCACAGCAAACTCATAGAAGTAAAGAGGAAGGTGTGACAAGGTGTGACTGGAGATAAGCGTTTAGCACAGTGAAAACACATCTAACACATCAACTATATAAAATACATTTAAAGACACTAATCACAAGGTTTCTTCACTTGAAACCATGAGAATATCAAGGGTCAATTTAAAAGATGTTTAAATGCAGTTTATTCATTGTTTTTCCAGCCCTGCTCAACACATGCAGACAAACACATGCAAATGAAGCGTGATTTAAAGGGAAAGTACCATAAACGGTTCAGAGCTCACCCTGCCGCCATACTGCAGCATGGGGGCCGGCAGGACGCGGCCCATCACCTGAGCCATTTCGTCTCGCACGCGGAACTGAAACTCCTGGACAAACGGGTCGGCCTCGTAATTAGCGCTTCGCACCTGAGAGAGGACAGAACGTTATTTTACTTTAAAAAAGAAAAAAATAATAATAAAAAAAAGGTTCTTGCAATGCTGGTCCACAGAGCGACACTCACCAGCCTGCTGATCTCCTCCTGTCTGTCTGGTGCAGAGCGAGCTGTTGCTTTGATCATGGTCGACGTCTGGTTATCTGTTAGTTTCTTAATGCAGCGCTGTCCTGCTACTATGTTGCAAACCTGAAAGGAAAAAATAACAGCACTGACAAATATCCCTCAACCTGCTAATGCTCTGACCTCCTCCACCCCTATACTTCATCCCCCAACCTATGATCCTTAGACACAGGTTTGTTCTCCAGCCACTGGTTTAAGAATAAAAGAATGATTATAGACTTTTAGCAGCTTTATTGACATTGTCATTTTGAAATGAATAAACTTCCAAAACACTATTTGTCCAGTATTTTGAATCATACAGTCACCGTGGGTCCTTACCTCCAGGGGCAGGTAGGTGTGTTTCTGCTCCTGGCCCACCTGCAGGCAAGGCAGGTGTGGATACTTGAGCTGCAGATTGTACTTCTCTCTGAAGTACTGCGCCACCGTGCGTTCAACTGTCTGACCATTCTCAAGCTGCAACGGGAACCTGCGAGTTTGACAGCAACAAGAATCTCTCTCTTAATGTAAGCCGGTGACAGCTCTGAGTGCAGTGTAACAGCGAGCGGAGAGATGTGGAAACATACGTCTGGAGGCTGGCAGGGCGTCGTGTTACATTGCAGACTCTGTACTTCCTACGCATGGTTCCACAGTGCGTCACTTCCACTTTAAGACCTGTGAAATGGTGAAGTCATCGATGTGAACAAGTCTTGGTAAAATGCAAGTGACCGGAGCTTTAATCCAATGATGGGAACAATTGAATAGCTGCAAAATTCCTCCTTTATGAAACAAATGGCAAGAACTTCCCATACGACAGCGCGGAGCTGCGGACAGTGGACACAGCGACAGCTCTTTGGTGACAAACCTTTGATTTCTTTGGTGAACTTGACCCTGTGGGAGTCAGTGAGGGGGCGGGGCTGCTCATCAATGTTGTGAATGTCCAGAACCTCGCACATGAACTGAATGACTGGCTGTGCTTTATAAAAGGCCGTGGCGGACACTGAAACAACACAGAACAAAGTCACACTGTAAAATAATGTTGGTTCAAACTGCAAATTTTCAGCCCGCAGCACTGGACACACTGTATTTAGAGAAGAGGATCCTTCTGATATTATTTATACTCAAAGACAGCAACCATTTTAAAGAGGGTGCAATTCACACATTTTTCTATAACAGAGCTGAGATTAAAATACATGCACATGGTCCTGTAAGTGTTTTAAAAAGGTTTGTGATCAAGCTTTTTCAGTGTCTGTCCATTAAATAAGACGCTGAGCATCAAATAGTTACTTAGCATTATGACCAACCCTGATAAGATACAGTATGTGGGATAGATAATGTGTGGATGGATTCTCATTTATCTCTGCAAGAAAACAAATTAAGTTATTTCTTAAAACCGTTTCTGTAAATGCTCCCACTTTCACGTTTACACACCGTCAATGTTGAGCATCATTTTCCACATGGCCGGCCGTACTGACTGATGGAAACCAAACCAGACCTCTCTTCCTCCGCCCAACGGGTGGTCGTAGCCCTCTGGGGAGGAGAAGAAAGATCGTCCGACGGGGGTGTACCTGGGGAGGACATAAGACACACATGCATGACACAAAGATCAGCAGAGCGCCAAAATAAAACGCTCCCCCAGGCTGTGACCAGGCTGTGACGCATAACACAAATGCTGCCCAGGTTACAGGTGTGAGACCACAGGAGGCCAGAAAAGATTTTTGTTCATGTAACTGAAACCTTTTCCAGTTAATGATTACAAAGTAGATGTTTTAATCCATCTTTCCACTATCAAGGTAAACTGCAGCATATAGAGTTGTTGTTACAGTCCTTATCACCATAAAGAATTTAACCAAACTTAAAATCTAGGAAACCTGAGTTTTCTTTTATTTGAAGGTATTATTTTTTTAAAAAGAGGTGAGGAAAACAAAACTCTGCAGACGTCCATGTGAGGGAACTCACTTCATGGAGGGGAGATGCCGAAGGACGACATCCACAGCATGAACAGGGTTAGTGCTGATGGGTTTGTCCAGGTCCAGGGGTTCGACCTCGCCATGTCCTGTCAAGACTTCGTGCAGCATGTGCCAGCTGACCAACGACACGAATCTGATGGAGACTTTAAACGGGCGGTCCTTCCCCCCCTCACCAGGTAGGGTGACATCCAGATCAACCTGAGGAGGAAAACATACAAAGCCGCTGTCAGATACAAATTAAGCTTTATTAAAGTGCTGCTCTTTTTTTTTTAAACCACCAAGAACAGGATAAGATATCGTCAACCACCATCAACAGCAGCCTCTTACAAAACACTTGTGATCTTTATCAAGCGGAGCTGTGATCGTTGCAGTTCTTACCCCACTGGTGGCAACAGGAAGTGGGTTTGCAGTGTAAAGGCTTCTCTTCCCATCATAAACTGGCCGACGGTCTCCAAAGATAGTCACCTTGAAATGCTGAACCATGGAGTCAACCACCTCCCTGAAAAGACAACCATAGAAAATGAGTAATTTGCATATTATTGTGTTCGATCATCAACTGATCAAACACATAAAAGCATGAGAATAAAGGTGTTTGCTGTCTGAAGCACTGGTTTGAATAAAACTGATCTCAAGGCTGTGGGGTTTTCCTGGTACCTGTTGACTCTGCGGGGACATTTATCAGGTTTGATGTCCACTTCATACAGGTAGACATCGATTTTGGGGATTTCCACCTGGAAGCAGTTGGCCAGAAGCTTGATGGGCTTCCCAATGGTGCCATGGCCGGGTCGCCGTGGCAGTGAAAAAAGCGCTGGGGCTTCAGCGGCTCCTACAACAAATCAAGCAGGAAATTCATTACAACCGTGCAATGGCTTTCACTCCACATTTTAAAACTATTTTAATATGTGTGTTTACAGTATCCATCAAAAAATCTAATGGAATCAATGAATTCATATTTAATGCAAGAGAAATTTGTCTTAATATTTTAGTTATAGTATTTCTTGCTCGAGGACAGATTCAGTTTATACTTTTAGAGTGTCTTGTACTATAGCAACACAAAACTCAATCTTTTATGAAGCATTCCACCTTCCGTCAGTATTAATTTTAATTTTGGAACATTACCGAATCAATGACAGCTCAAACAAAGCTCAGAACAGTAATCATGAATGTGTCGAACCCTTTTAAATAAATGAAGGTCTTTGAAATGAGGGCAAACTGTATGAAGTAAGTGGTTAGTAAGGATGAAAAGAGCAGATGGTGGCTGCTGCGACTGAGGACGGTCAGGGACGTCACAGATTAATAACCAGATAAAACTGATGGTCAAGACAAACAAGCCAGCGTAGCCCCCAAGTCGATCTGATTATGACTGTGTAAAGGTTGTGGAGTTGAGTGACATTTTGAATAAAAGACCAGCTCGTTGGCAGATGCAGATTCCTTCCTGACTGACATAGCCTTTGCCAGACGGGAGAAGAAGTAGGCGGGTGACACAACATGGCCATTTGACACCAATTTTCAGAAATGCCAATGTGGAAAGTACTTGGAGAGGAAAGAAATTGACATCACACCACCACACAATTTCCACAAATGTGACTCAGAGGATCCACACTCACATAATGACCAACATGACAAAGTCTGCACAGAGGTCAAGCTGTAAAAGTAGCACAAATAGCTTGCCATAATGTGATGTTGAAATGAAAGTGTACAGTGAAAACAAGGTGTGTGGCAGTGTGTTGAATGAGGCAAACAGAGCAGCTGTGGGTGGAAAATAATAAAACTGTTACACAGTGCCGCCGTCGGGGGTCAAGGGCTGACCCTGGACCTGTTGTAAGGAGGAATCATTCATGAAACGACTGCGCTTTCTGCTGATGTGTCCCCAGCTCGCTTCCTCCCATGTGCTGTTCCCATGGTGATGGTGCCCATGTTGCTACGGTTTCTCCATGGCAACCAAAAGCATGCCGAAAGGAGGAGGGAGGACAGATGCACACAGAATTGTCTCGGCTTCTGTGACAAAAATCTGTGGGTTTTTTTTATGAATTTGAAGTTTTATGATTAAAATTAGCAGAAGGTAAAAACAGGATTATTTTTTAGCAGCTTCTTCACAAGTTAAGACTTGAAAAAAAACACAAAGGTTCATTGTAGAATGAGCAACGATGGAGAGAAGAATGATCACTTATCAGGCTGCTTCATCAGACACATGCACCACACGACCGGTAGGAGCAGACATTTAATCCACACGCTGGCAATAAGGTGCAATTAAAAACATGTCAAGCTGATTTTGTATTATTGAGAAAATGTTAGTTTCATCTTTTCGAAACCTTTCCTCAGGTTAAATATTGAACAATCTATAAAACCCTTGTTTTAAAAAATATTCAATACAAAGACACTGACAGTAGTGTAGAATCTAAAAAATAGGAAAAAACATTTTGGCGTTTCTTATCTCGATAAATTAAACTTAAGTGAAGTGAGTTTAAAAAGTTGATGCTGATCACTTGTCTTTCTGTTTATCAATTAAAGGATCAATTATATCTGCTCTGAATGGATGATGGAGGAAGATTTGACTTTTAAAAGCGTTATGGCAAGAACAACAAACGTGGTGTTGTATTATATTTTGAATCAAATAGTGTTAGCTCATTAATCAAATCCCTGATAGACTCTAAATTAAATCACGTATCAAATAAAGCTTTGTTCTGAGCTTGTAAAGCGGGAAGTGGGAGTGGAATTAATGGGTCAGTATCAGTGAACCAGCCCTTTTCGTTGTCCTCCCAGTTCACCAGCGTCACCAACATCAATAATACACAAGCTGTGACCCTTGCCAACAAAGTAAATTGACTTGTGTCCTGCCACGCTCGATTGATTTGTAATTAACACAGGCAGTTAACTGAACACTATTCAACAGTTGAGGTAACTATGGCAGCTGGTGTGAGAGGCTGCACTTCAAATCACACACAGACGCACAACACATACACAGAGAGACACACAACACACACACCCCCCGAAAGGGAGCCAGCCACTCTCAGGCTTCAGACACACCTGACGGGATCACCACCTGTCTGTGACGGATGACAAAGAATGACGTAGACAATGAAAAGAAACCAGTGAGACTGGTTTAGGGGCGCGCGCACACACTCACACACACTCACACACACTCACACACACTCACACACAC